ACCATGTATGTTTGAACAATGATTTCTTTTTAACAATTGCAAATTATTACTGGTTTCTTTCAAAGTTGTTTGCCACGTGAAAAGTCCTCGAAATTCACTTTTGTGCACATCATGTACGTCTTCTATTTCAAGAATATCTTTAAGTTGTTCGGCAACTGTTATTGATTTGTACAAAAAGGCTGGCCGAAGTTTGCATACAAAACTGTTAATTAATATCAACCTATCGGATGACGAACATACTTTATTGAAATACGAACACTTGCTATTGCATTATTGATCAAAAGTGCGTTATAAGTGAATTAAAAATGTTTTATAACCTATAAAAGAATTGTTACTTTCTTTTTTGTTACAATGTTGAATAGCTTACGGCACCCGTATAATACCTAGGTCAGTCAATAACTTAACTTTTGAATTGTATCATGAATAAAACAGGAATATAAACTTTGTATTGTTCAGGAAATGTTTGAATTCTAATGCTATTTTACGACATTATTTTAACTGTACCTTTTGCTAAAGGAATCTTAGATAGACATTTATTTAGATTAAAACACACATATACATAATACAAACACTTATGCATTTTATATATTTAATTTATTTAAACAAAATTCCTGTTATTATGCAAATTGACCAATTTAATCATTTTTAAAGGAAATAAATAAATAAATAAATATAAATAGATAAATGAATGAATAAATAAATTGATAAATAAATAAAACTGTTATTAAAACCAGCACATGCATTAGATTTGTTGTTCCTCCGTGTGCTTTTCATATACCGACGTAACAAAGAACTCTGACACAGTAAAATAATGACTCCTGGTCATTTATATATATATATATATATATATATATATATATATATATATATATATATATATTATATATATATATATATATATATATATATATATATATATACACGCAGACCCCTTTTTCTATATGTTTTCTTAAAAATAATATAAAAAATAATTTATAACCTTTTAAAAATTCTAATGTAACTGAAGCCTAAACTCTGCATACAACACTGCCCCTCTGATTGACATGTTCTTTATAAACATATCAGTCCGTGAACCGCGTCATGACAAAACCAACTTAATGGGTTTGCGACAAGCATGGATCCAGAAAAGCCTGCGCATCCGCGCAGTCTGATCAGGACCCATGCTGTTCGCTTACAAACCCTATAGCAAGTAGTGAAACTGATATCAAACAGCATGGATCCTGATCAGACTGCGCGGATGCGCAGGCTGGTCTGGATCCATGCTGGTCGCAAACCAATTATGTTGGTTTTGTCATGACGCGGCTCATTTAATTGTAAAGCAATAGCAGGTATTTGCAGAGTTTCTACAACAAGATAAAGACCAATATCATCAGTGTATTGAGTGATATACGACTGCAGATCTTCAAAAATTTCATTAATAAATACGATAAAGTAAAGTGACAAAGAATGGACCCTTGAGGAGAACAAGAAAAACAAAATAATCATAAGAATTAAAATTTGCAAAAAAGATCAACACGTTTTGACGTCTGATAAATAAATGAGAAAACAGGTATGAAAACGAATATTTCAGGATGATTCAGTTGAGAAATTAAGCATTATCAAACCTTTTTGAAACTTTTGCTAATGTTATAGAGTAACTCGTATTTCTAGATCATTTTCAAAGTTGCAGTAGCGTATATGGACACTTCTTGATTGACCGTTGAATCGCCTGGTTTGAACTCTGTTTGGAATCCTAACTGCACAAAATCTGTTGACTACTTAATTTGTTATAGAAATTATTGTTATGAAAAGCGAACTAATAACCTTATCTTTACATGTCAATGTTGACCAAAGTTTGAATATTATAATCATGATTGATATGTGCATGTTGAGGATGGCAACCGTTTATTTAACTGGTCATCACTGATCTGCGCGAGTCAATACTGACAACTTTTTGATTTCTCATTCAGAATGATCTGCGCACGTCTTTGCTGACAACCGTTGATTTTCATCATGACTGTATAGACAAAGTTTCAAATGGGCAGCTTAAATAAAAGGTTCTAGCATGTAACTGAAAGTATTATGTAATTTCTTACAAAATTTCCTTCGTTGTTTTAAAACTGTTACTTCAATCACGCCAATTTATGACAGCATTTGCTATTTCATTGTTGACACACTTGCAGCCTAATGGAAGGTTCGTATATTTGGACTGATTTAAAAAAAAAACGTAATGAAAATAGTGTGCATGTGACCTTCGGCCCAACATCAGAACTCGTAGTAAGAATTAATGAATCACATAACTTGAAATGGAACTTGCTGATTTGTCACTCCAAATTTACGTGGTTTTGATAACAAAGAATGACACTAAAACGATATAGACATGTCAAATAGATTGTTGTAAATAACTGCGATACTTATTTTACTTCAGGTGATTTTCTAATGCGAAACCTTGTTTAATCTATCAAATAACTGTGTATTATTACTGAGGAATAAGCATATATTAGGGAGTAGATGATTTGTGTGAGTAAATGGTGTATAGTATCTATTTGATTCGAGTTAGGAGCGCAGTACACACAAATCTTATTGGCCTGAATAGTTTCTCAACAAAAGTGTTTATCGATTTAACAATATTAAAATGTGAATCATGCTGTCGTCTATTAATTCTTCTAACAAAAATGAAAGATGATAATACTTGTGTGAAAATTAAAATTAAAAGCGCCAGATATACATTCATGGGAAAATTTAAGACCTTTTTATTTTTAGACATATATATTTATATGTTTATTAGCCAGAAATGTCATTAATTTTCTTTATGAGTGTATTTAGCGGGAAATAACGTGACATGCATCTTCAGAAAAAGACCCAATTTAATTTATGATAGAGGATGCATAAAATACGGTACATAAAGGTCTTGAGATACTCAGATGAATGTTAAAAATCGGAAAGCCCTAACGGGTCCAAAGGATCCGCGAGGAAAGAAAGTGAGCGACAGTTAAACATTCGACCGATGCGCAGTAGAGTACCGCGAGGGCTACAAGTGTTTTAAGAAACAATGTATTACGATGTATAAGGTTAATTTAGCATAGTCTTTATCCTAAATTGCACCATAGATAGAAATGTTATGTTGGAATTAAAATATATTTAGTATCTTTATCAATAAGTTGTGATAAAATATGAATATAGGTATGATGGCGAAAAGTCAGAAGACCGATGATGAAAAGTCGAAATAACGAAACCACCTTGGTGAAAACTCGATATAATTACGTGTTTCCACCATCGTACTTTCGACGTTGTGTTGTTTTGTTATTTCGGCTTTTCACCATCGTACTTTTGATTCTTCATCATCGTAATTTCGACTTTTAACCATCGTCAACCTGCCTTTTTATCATCGGTTTCGGTTTTTAGAAGTAACAAACTTTTGTATTTTCACCATATGCTCACAACATAATACAAAGCCATTAAAATTATTGTTTCTTTGTAACTCAATCCTTCAGTTGGTACAAATATTTTCTTATATCGTCATCCATTGTTATTATCTCTGTGCGCATGCCAGACATGAAGGCGAAACTACGATGGTGAAAACAATGATGATGAAAATTCGAAAAAACGATGGTGATAGTCGTAACCACCACAATAAAAAGTTCAATGATGAAATTTAAAAATAACGAAACCACAATGGTAAAAAGTTAGCTATACGATGATTGAAATTAAAATGAAAAATCGAAATAACGCAACTTAGATGGTGAAAGGTCAAAAACACGATGGTAAGAACACGCAATTATATGGATTTTCCATAATCTTGGTTGCGTTATTTCGATTTTCACCTTGCTACTTTCGACCTTTCATCATCGAATTATCGATTTTTCACCGTAGTGATTTCACTATAATTTAGACTTTTCACCATCGTTGTTTCGTGTTTTCGTTGTTGCGAGCTATGTGTATATCGCAATGGCACTTACGAGATACCGTATTTGGTACTGCCACATTACCAAAATGCCATAGCGCATTGTCGACTGTTGCTTTACATTTTTGCGATGTCACCACATTGTCACAATAAACATATTATCGTGTGTCAGCCCTTAAAGGGAATGTAGTGCTATTATATGCATGTTATATGCAACATCAACAACAACAACAACAACAACAACAAAAAGAAAATTCTCAAATAGCTTTAACATTTTATTTTGAAATAAATGGAATGTTTAAGAATATGTATAGGAAGGTATCTGCATCCACTTCGTTAAGATTACAGATTTGTCTTTTAAAGATGTCAGAATTCACTCAAATACTCACTATAAAGAAATTGCAAGTGATAATTGCAGTCCGTCTGAGGACAGTACTATTACGTTTCATTTGCTTTTTTTCTAAAGGCACATTGCGCATCAGAAATCATTAGAGCCGCGTCACGACAAAACCAACACAGTGCGTTTGCGACCAGCATGGATCCAGACCAGCCTGCGCATCCGCGCAGTCTGATCAGGATCCATGCTGTTCGCTTACAGACCCTATAACAAGTAGAGAAACTGATAGCGAACAGCATGGATCCTGAAATTGCAGTAATAATCGTAAATATAGCAAAAATGTGAAATCAAAAAGTATTTAGACTTTCATACAAACTAAATACTAAAGTACTTAATCACTTTAATCACACGAGTTAGCAAAAGAAAAATAAAAAAAGAAACAAGACATCATGAATTATACCTAAAAGGAAGAGCACTACTTAATTTTTTTAACAGGGTGCTTTAAAGTTTCTATGAGCATAAGAGTTACGCCAAAAACTAAATCAGTAACAAGGACACCCTTTCTTTCCGATTTGTTTAATTCACAACATTTTTTTATAACCTTTCAGCTTACAAAGAAGAAAGCACTTTTTAAAACTGAGCAAATATTCAAATTTTTATTGTACATGTATAATCCGCAAACTAACAAACTAATTTAAAAGCTAATTTTTTTATATAAAATGTTCATTTTCTTAGACACGATTTGCTTTATTGATATTGAAAGAAAGAAGGATTCGTTAAAGTAAGACGTTACAGTGGATAAGGGCATTATTATTCGATCTTAATTTCTGGATCACAAATATATTTTCGATGCTTAATGCGATGGGCCATGTTATTGGTTTGGAATCTATTGTTATTAAAACGGTCTTCGTGTAACAGCACAGTTACAGCTTGAATCCACCTGTATGTATCCCCAGTCAAACTCGCCATTAGAGTCCAATTGCTTACTTATATATGCCATGACGGAGGTCTTTCGTGGTATACATTGGGAAGAATATCTGAAACGAAAGAAATAATCTAATAAATACCATGAATACGTCTGGCATTTTTATCATGTTAACCAAATGTATTTGCAATACACCATGCAAAACCTTAGAATAGAAATGGTGACGTTGCATACAGAATAAAGTTATAAAAGGAACATAAAGCAAAGACTAGCAAAGACTATAAAAATCTCTGCAGACAGCCAATAACCACAAATACGTAGATATATACTTCTATGACACAAAGAGTCAGAGTCTGAACTATATGAAAAGAATACACTTTCATATGGGAGTCTGGATACTGGCTATCCTTGACGAGGACAAAACAATTACCACGATCATCTTTGCATTGTCTGAACAACGAAGTGCATTAGTCATATACATATATACACTGTAGTGTCTAGTTTAAAAATATTACTTTTACATATATCAGCATCCTAAGATTTATTTAAAACACTTTGTCTATGTTTATTTTTGGTTTGTTTTTAAATCACACAGGCACTTTCAAAGGTAATATGGCGACTTTACAGCTTTAATGGTAAATCAACACCTCAGGTTCCCCTCCGTGGATTAAATCAGGTATGATCCGGCATGTGAGTAAAACCACCGATACTTTGCAAACTAGATCGATAGCTTCCTCTCGAGAAGGAACGCACATGTTCCGTATGACCGTGGTTTGCACTATTCGCTAGTCAATCAGTACTTAACATAAAAATCTCCCAAAAATGACAACTGGTCTTGTACAGGAAAAAGAGATGGACAAGTCAAGCGGGGTAAAGGTTAATGACTAATTAGACAAGAATAACAAACCGTCTATGATTTACAGCTCTGCAACAGAGAGGACAGTCGTCGTTTTCAGATAAAAGACTCTCATAATCACAGGTAACGGTGTAAAACCATTGAAAACTATTTGGGTTGTCATCACTAGGTTGAAACACGACCACTTCAGTATTGTTTAGGTCTCTTGCATTTCGTATTTGTACCCATTCTGTTGTGAATGGACAAATCGGTTGGGCAACGCCGATGTCAAATATCGATCTTTTCTGTAATAAAATGATTATATAATAAAAAAAATTTGAGGAAGAGAGACAAAGGCCTATATAGCATATGTATAAAATGTTTTAGTTAAGTTGATTGAATTTATTTTAATTCGATTCAATTAGAAGCTATTGAAACACTCTCGAAACCGTTCCCGGAACCAACCAGTACTACGCAATGAATGTAAAGTTTCTTGCTAAAAGAAACAACAGCTTGACCCACCAACACGGTCAGCAATCCCTAGATTACTAGTAAAATGTTTTATGTATCAGGTAAAATTTTAAGTCGAAGACGACTTTACAAAAGCAGGTTTTGAAATTGCTATATTCATAATACGGAAAATTGCTCTGACTATCTAAAAGTGTTTAGTTTAACATTTTCATGCCTTTTCAACTTTATGTTTAAAATAAGCTAATGGGGTTGAGTTTCAGGAAAGTTTGTTTCTGCATATAATGTATCTAAAATATATAATCATATACCAGCAATGTATTTTAATTCCAGAACTTTACGAGATCACGCTGTCATCAATTAGCAATGTGTTGGTGTATATATGCATGTGACAAATGTTTTAAGAAGCGACCGCTAGGTTATGAAAGCACGTTACATATTTTATCAGATATAGCTTTTTACACTATTTAATTGAAAGTATTTTGGAAATCTTATACTTACACTTCTCGATTGTACACCTCTGGCTAAATCACTCTCGGGGATCGGCGGTGGTACTCTCCCTCCTATTTTGAGACGCCTGTCCATCAATGCCGGATGCTCCTTTAGGGTAGAATATAACCCTCTTAAATCAATGCTAGGATCTATTGCATTTGCTGTGTTCTTTTGTCTATCTGTGTAAGTATTGAGTGATTGTTCAGTATTTCTTAATATAGCTGAAATAATAATAATAATAATAATAATAATAATAATTATAATAATTATAATAATAATAATTATAATAATTATAATAATAATAACAGTAAACAGTCATAATGATGATGATGATGATGATGATGATGATGATGATGATGATGATGATGATAATAATAATAATAATAATAACAACAACAACAGTAAACAGTTATAATGATAACAACAACAATGAGTTTTATGTCCTTTTATTTGTACAATGTTTCTTGAAAGCAAGATGCGTTTGCTCGAGCGGTCATAATTATATATAAAGTTGTAAATACAGTACTTTTATTATTATTTGAGATATATCATATCAAGGTGTTTCTGTAATATTATTTCAGGAATCACCTTATTACACATTAACTGTCATTTTATTAGATATAAAAACCTCTATTTTTTGCCCACTAGGGAATAACGATATGTCTTATATAGTGTACAGCAAGTGCTCTAGAAAATAATGACCATAGCATCAATCAGGGACAGTTTGTTTGTATAAGAGTAGAAAGTACAGAATTGTCAGTGTCAAGTAACAAAATGTATATTAAAGGTAAAATGTCGTGAATTAAACAAAAGAAAGTAATTTACACATGAACAGAAATGAGTCAAAATATGAAGAAAAAAACCTTAACTGCGTTAGTCACGCAGAGGAAAATATGGAAATAAATACTGCAAAATCAGTCATTCATTGCACATAAGATGCATTTTATTACTTGCATATTTTTACTTTCTTTAAAATCATAGTACATGTTTCCTTGAAATATCTTGGCTCATCTGGAGGCATGCATCTTTAAAAATGCGTAAAAATTGTAGCTGTTTTTAATAGAAATGTATCATAAATTTATAGAGCTATCAGGGGATAAATATGTTAAAGGTTTAAAATGATACCTTCAGACATATAGCAAGTAAGATAAATTCAGCTTTATCTTTTTAGAATTCAAATATTTCGTATCATTCAGTTCTAGACAAAATAGGTAAGGAAATTTCATCTAAATTAACAGCTCAAACGGATAAAAGATAAAGCATAAAAGTACTATTAGTATCTCCACACATATGCACTGTTTAACCCTATCCTTTAAGTAAACAACATGATTATAGTAATTGCATGGACTTTATATAGATGTACATATATATAAATAGGTGTGTGCCGTAAGATTGCAACAAATTATTATCATTCATGCCTATATCGTGACCGTTTCGCTTCAAGACAAAGCAGATTAGCGGAATAGTTTAAAGAAATGACCAAAGAACGAGGGAAGGTTTATATCTAATGTAATTATTAAATCAACTGAACATTTGACATTTTATCATAGCACTTTGCCAGTAAAATTATCCACTCTAAACTTTCTTCACCTCTAGTTAATGAGTATGTTGAATGCCTAAAGGCGTATTATATGTATTATATGACATGAACTTGTCTTTGCCTTGGATTTATTGAGTAGTTAATAAAGTGAGATGATTTGAAGCTTTGCAACCTTACATTAACGTCTGAAATTTCATTGCTTCAAATTGAATATCTTTTTTCCTACCATTCAATATTTTAATCTCCACACACACTGTCAAGGTAATATGGCGACTTTCCGGCTTTACTGAAAGAAAAAGTCATCAGGGGTGTCCGTCCGTGCTCTTTTATAAGACGAGCGGGCACCTAAGTAGAATTAACGACTTTCCATAAGCTAGCTGGATAGCTTCATCTTAAGTCCATGGTATTTTGAACCAGTAGCGTTGAGAAGCAAGTGACCTACCTTTTTAATATAATTTTAAAGTTTCTAATTAAATGATTTAAATTTTACGTTCTCTGAAGTAGTTGAGGAAAATAGTCTTATATCAAAATTCAAATTTCTTTATATAACTATGAAAACGGTTAGAAATCTATTTAATAAACCCGCAATACATTTCACATGATTGTATATTATTTAGAAGCGAAAGAAAAGCGAAGAAACTAAAGTTAACAATGAACTGAACTCAATCAATTCAAATACCGACTTATTTCACAAAACACTAACGCATCTTTAAAGTGTTTTTTTTGCCCATCTAAGGGAATATAGTGAGTGAAAGTGAAAATAAGTTAACATTTTGCCATAATTCCTTTCAAATTTATAGTTTACTTTGCATGACCAATAGATAAATCATGTGACCAAAGGAAATCTCTGTTAGTATCCATCGAAAAGAGTAGGCAGAACTTTTTGTATTTCAAGCAAAATTATTTATTTTTTTTTTTCAAAAAGCAGCTATTGGTCATTCAACATTAAAACAGTCAATATTTTGAAATATATAGTCAGCTCAAGTCAATTTCACAACAAAAAATGAACATTATGTAACTTTAAATTAAAAATAAGTCGGACTTCGAATATCAAAAATGATTGGTTAAAATTAAAATGAATAATGTTTATACGAAAAACAATAAATTAAAAAGATGTTACTGGTAGAATTCATTTGTTCGTTTTTTTAGAGTTTTATATCGTCATAATTGAGCCGCGTCACGACAAAACCAACATAGTGCGTTTGCGACCAGCATGGATCCAGAACAGCCAACGCATCCGCGCAGTCTGATCAGGATCCATGCTGTTCGCTATCAGTTTCTCACCTTGTAGAAGGGTTGGTAAGCGAACAGCATGGATCCTGATCAGACTGCGCGGATGCGCAGGCTGGTCTGGATCCCTGCTGGTCGCAAACCCATAATGTTGGTTTTGTCATGGCGCGGCTCATATCTTTGCATGACGAAGAAGGGGGGAATGAGAGAAAAGTGCATGAGACAATATTTGCCTTGCTGTCTATTTAAGCCTCATTATATCTGAGAAACGATTAATTTGTTTCTACTTTAAAAAGGGCAAACATGAGTTTTAAAACATTTATATATGGCTTGAGAGCATTTTAGAGTAAAGTAGCTCTTATTGTAAAACTGTAAACAGGTAGTAATTATTTTGATTTCCATACACATACTAAATCACTATTATTCTACTAAATGCCAAAAGCTACAGTAGAAACAGATTGTTCACGTAATTGGCAAATGAGCAACAAATTCTAAAATTACACTGAAAATAAAAAGCTTATGAGAAATAAAAATTGATAATAGATATAATAATAATAACACATCTTCTTCTGAAAAACATCACTAAATAAATCAAATTACACCTGGAATTAATTCGTATGTGAGACACTGGTATAATGTAAATTGATACGTTCTGCGTAAAGGCAATGTAATTATCTTCAAAACGTGCAGCTTTTTCACATCTATAGATGAACATTTCGCAGGTATTTGATGTCCTTATTTTAATTATAAGTAAATAAAAGAATTAATACTGTAAGTTATAAGTGTTATGTAGACTAGAAAAAGTTAGAAATGTTGCGTTCATATGATATTTATAGAACATAACAGAATTTATCCATCAATTTGGAAACGTGTAAATATAAAGCGAAAAATATTACCGTTTGGATTTGATATTTTTTACAGTTCAGCATAATTGCATAACAGCTAATATTGAATGTACAAACAATTAATTCCTTTTTTGTATGATTTATGATATTTTTATTTTCAATGCCTAAATAGTTCAGATGCATATCGTACCCAAAGACTCGTTTTCATTTCCAGACTCACAAATAGCACACACCAAATGTATACCGTACCCAAAAGCTCCTTTTTCATTTCCAGACTCACAAATAGCACACAACAAATGCATATCGTACCCAAAAGCTCGTTTTCATTTCCAGACTCACAAATAGCACACAACAAATGCATATCATACCCAAAAGCTCGTTTTTCATTTTCAGAGTCACAAATAGCAAACAACAAATGCATTTCGTACTCCATATAGCCTTGTTTTCATTTTAGGGTCAAGCGAAATACATATCCTACTTAATCGAACCGCATTTTTAATTTTTAAAGTCAAAAATCTTTATTAACTCTGTACTTGAAACAATAAAGTTCTGTTAAAATATTGGTTCTTGTAGATTCCTACATCAGACTTGTGTCTTGTCTAATATAGCTCTGACCGCAGTGTACTCGTCCACTAGAATTCAGTATATTAATAACCTCACATAATATCATTATATGAATGTAAATGCAAAGAATATACTAACATATCCAGTTGTTTTCTTGTTAAATTGATACATTTCAATCGTGCATGAAAAAAGTTCAGACGGCTTATATTTATAATATTTTATATTTATAGATGTCTTTTATGACTTTTTCAGCAGTATTATATTTTTTATACAATATAGAATCATAGACAAGGGAATACTGTACAAAAAATATTCATGGTAAAGAAACCCTCTTTAAAGATCATATATATTCAAATTTCCAGAGAAACATTTTAATAGCCACTTAACGTAATGAACAATACATCAAAGTATCCCTTTATACAATTCAAAATAATAAAATATACTCCGCACATTTTGCCTGCATTTATCATTTTGAATCGACATCAAATGGCAATGCAATATTAATTGAAACATGTTTTTGAACTGACATTTTTGTTACTATTTTATATTACCATTTCACGAAGTAAAGTTAAAAAGCCTGAAGAGTTAATCAGTCTTTACTTTCAATTACGTGGTCGTATTCTATATAAACATTTTTACATGGTATATATGAATACCATTACGTTTGCCGCTATATAATGTTTCTAATATTATGATGTTTTCCTTTTTTTGATAAGCCCTAATAAACGACAGCTGGACAACTAACTGTTCTAGGCTACGATTCGAACATATTTTCACAATTTGAGTAATAACAATAATAACTAAAAATGTGCATTTTAAAGAGAAAAAACAAAATATTTGAATATATATATATTTCTTTTACAAATTGTATGTCACTTGATATATACAGTGAATTACAATAAATAGAGGATATTCAAGTTTATCTATGATTCACTGCAGAAAAAAATAATCTTTTACGGTGAAAATATGGAAAATGATAATACGCATTTCATCAATATTTTTAAAATGTATAATAATATGATTTAGTAAACATTTAAATATTCAACAGAACATAATTTGATAAAAAATATTAACATAAGAAGAATTAAATAGCGTAATACAATTTCTGTTCAATAACTTTTAACCTTTTTTTAAAAAAAAATTTCTTTGTTTTAAATTGAAAAGTGTGTTTCCTTTTCAAATTTGAAATACATATACTTAGTGCACAATATCACGAATATAGTTTTTATTCCTTCGTTAGAAATGCTAATTCGAGCTATTTAAAGCCATCTATTTCAGTTGATATTGTTAAAACTTAATAAAAGTATTAAATATATTGTTTTGTAGGAAACTATTATTTTATTTCCAAACATGTCTGTATTTTAAATTGTATCAGAATCAACAAAAGCTAGATTTGTTTCATTTTTTCTGATGGAATTAATTATTGTAACATTAAATTTGATTATTTTAAATTATGGTAATAATTGAGAACTGTTTTAACAATTTATGTGCACGTGAATGCTTTGTCATTAACAACATAAGATAAATGTTAATGAGTAAAACATATACCTTTAAGATAGAATTATACAAGAATTTATGGTCTGGATTTGGCCTTCAAGTCTTCAAGAAAAATATTCAATCATCTTTTATCATTTAAATCATCTTAAACAAATAATATCACATAGCTCTGAAACTATTTTTTTTCCTTTCATTGTGGGGTATTATGAATAATATAATATTATGAATAATATGTTATATTACATAAGTAGTATTTGAACTATGTAACGATCACTAATGTTTTATTTTTCCTTCAAATTTGAACAGAGAGGTTTTTCTTTTCGTTGTACTGCATTAAAGTTTGTTGGTTTTTTTTACAAAAAATAACAAAAACAAAAACAGAAACTAAAAAACAAACTTGAAACAAACTACCCCCACTCTCCACATACACTTGCATATTTTAATGCTAAAAGAGTAAGTAAACGATAAAAAAAATACATATAATTTTTCTAAAACACAACATTGATACACAATTAACATGTACATGTATAAACAGTCTTAATACCTTACTTTAATTTTACAAATTAATGTAATTTACTTCCAATAAAATTATAATTATAAAATAATAAACACAAACTTATAGACATCATATTCCTGCAAATGCAATGGATTTACATCTTATTTTTACATTTAGTACTTACTTTCTTTTAACAAGTCTTCCATTCTAAATTTTCTGTCTCTTTTCCCTATATTGTCGTTTTTTGAAAATTTAAGTATTGCTTTCACATAAACATTTAAACTACAAAAAATTAAAACAACTATCGACAGTCCAAATACATGCATAGTTGAGCAGTCAGGCAAGGCGATTCAAAATGAAATGAAAGACTTCCATCTACTTCTGTTCCTTTTATGTCCATTATTTTCTTAAAAGGTCACCACTATCATGACGACTATCTCATGTTTTTTTCCAATACAATTGACTCTTCACAATTACGCGTTATAGTACCAAAAACATATATAATAATACACTGTCAATCAAATAAAATTCATTTGATTACGACAATCCAGCTGTGCTTTGATTTGTACGATGAGGCTTCCCCCACGTATGGCCTCGTTTTGAATTATGTTCTATAAATAACTTCAATTAAAGGCGGCGTTTAAATTGCTTTATTTTTCTGTGCGGTTTCCTTGGAAATTATGAAGGGTAAGGATTGGTGTGTCTCTGATGGATGAATGAAAGAAGGAATAAACGAGACATTTGTTGGCAGTAACTTGATTCATTTTTTTATGCTTTTACCTCTATGAAATGATAATTCTTAATAATATCTTATTATTTATATATAAAAAAATCAACCCCTAGTTTTATTATCATATAATAAAAGCAAAATGTCAAATAATAAAATGACAAAAACGTCAAATTGAATTGTTATATATACATCTTCTCCCATTGCAATATTGCAAAGCGATATAAAAAAAATCTTACTTGTTTCAACATTAGAATTCAAAAGCATCATTTAAAAATATGAAAATGAATGCATGTTATATTTTTGAAAATAGTTAATAATCAATGATGGCTTATTTTTACTTAGGGGCCATACACAGCTTTTCCTAGAATGGCACGAAAGTGTCACATTGAATGTTTCATAATGATCGTCGTATGAACACATCTGTGGATGTTTCTTAATATAAAATTTTACCATTTTCATGTTTAAATGTTGAATTCTGCTAAAGCCGGTGATAGGGGGCGTCGGCAGTAGTTTGCACTTAACAGTGCCGTTCAAAAACAGACTCAATCAAACCAAGCCTGCAATATTTTACAATTTTGTTGTGTTTTTTTTTACTTTCTTAAGGGATTCTTATTTTATCCATTTAATCAAAAAGAGAAAATAATGAAACAAAGTTTTTTTTTCAATGAGCCTTAGAGTCTGTCTCAGACTAATACAAGACATTCAATCATTCAATTGTAAGAGTGTCGAGTGTCAATAAAAATAGCTTATAGGATAATAAAGTCTTAAACAGTGTCTGTTAGAAACTTTGAATGCAAAAAAAAACGCAAGTTTATGATTTTAAAAACATTCTAATAATGTTTCTATGTCTTTACCGCACACACTTTATTATTGGTGATAAATACCGTTAGAACGACTTTACCGAAATAGCTTATTGTGCATTGTGCATTGTTAAAAAAGAGAGCTTACTTCGAAAATTTGTCAGCAAATATTAGGGAATGTTAAGATTGAGACATGAGAATTTCAATTTGGAGGAATAATATGTATTCTACAAAATTCACTGTCTAGCCGCCGCAAATGTTTTGGTGAAAGCACACTCGATATAATTGAAAACAATGTAAGTTTTTAGGAGACTGATAAAACGTTGTCTATGCTTCGCATGTTAGCATCAAACCTCTTATGTAAAAGTCTAACCTTATCTTCATGAATGCTTTTCATCCAGACAAGAGTTTCTATTTGATATTTCAAAAAACAAATATGTATAAAGGCGTGGGCAAGGTGCAAGACAACATAAGCAAGAAGACAATCAATTAAGACATATAATAACTCGTCCCTTGTTCATGATTATTTCCTGATTCCTATGAATTTCATTACAGGAAATAATATATTACCAGAAACGATATTTCACAAGGAGATGCAATGTTATATCCATTTTTATGACATTTTTAACATCTGCACTAATAAGTCTTCAATCTATTCCCACTTGGAATTTTCACGATACACGTCTCTATGTAAGCGGTAGTCTTAAAAAATAAGCCTATTAGTAGTCAAGTTTATTAATTACGTCCTTTCTTTTAGAACAAATCTGCCAACAATTTAAATGACACCATGTACTGTGTCTACCTAAAGTATGGTGTGCAGAGTTTTAAAGGTACAAATTTTCTTTGTGTCTGCCCAAAAGCTGGTTATTATACATTTTAAAAGAGATCTTATAATATCAATATTCAGGGCGTTTTTTTCCAAAATATTAAAAATGAGCAAACTATTTTTTCAGGATTAAGGTTTATGACACTTTGGATAAAAAAGATATACAAATAATGACAAAAATTAATCAAAGAATATAAAAATGTATGTCCCCTTTTGGATAATCGATTTAAATACACTTTTATTTTCATTTTGCATTTACTATTTTAGGCGCTGATATCACTTTTTGCGTGACAGTGAAAAATGTAAAACGATGTTATTATATTTCAACGCAAATCTCACATAACATATCTGTCTGTTAAGTAATTCAACTGGAAGTGATCTATTTTATATCATTAAAAACATTGCTTATATTAGTTAAGTGAGAAAAATATATACAGAAAGACTATCCGATGAAATTACAGACACGGCTAAAGAATACTATTCTACAACGGTATTTTGTAATAAATTGACACGATAGAAATGTTTATGGCAATTAAAATTAACTGAACATATTAAACTGATGCATTCCTTAGGTCTATTTGTACTGATTGTAATCAAAGCTCAATACAGTATTATTTCTATAAATGTCGAAGGAATTTTCCTTTGGAAAGAATCTGCTAGACATGTTAATGTTTCAAGAAGTCAAATCCTCGTATAACTCACATATTATGTTAAAATACCTGGAAAGAAAAAAACCCCGGTACTTCTGCACCAAAGATGCAGGTACTCCAGACCTTTGCATAGCCACAATTAATACACATGCATTAGCAAAACAAACAGAAATTTGTGAATTTAAGAATAAATGAATGAAATACAAAAAAGTCAGACAAAGATTAAGAAAAAGGAAAAGACAGAAAGAAAATATTGAAAAAAGTAAAAAGAGGACATAACAGAAGACAACTTAAAAGGTCTAAAGAAACTGTATATTTGGCGAATCACTTTTTTAATTGAAAAGGAATAATCACAGAGTAATGCTCAAAGTGACATTATACCTATTTAAGGGTATATAGTGAGTGAATAGACGCAAGTCAAAATAAGTACATGATTCCTTTTTATTATAATTACTTTCAATAAAACAATTAACTTCGCATAAACAATAAATAACTCCAACGAAATTTCTGTAAATGTTCATCGGAATTGAACTGTAACGTTCACTTTATAAAAAGAATAGGGCAATGTAACACCGCACTTTGGGGTCAAACGCACTTTGGGGTCCAACCCCAAAGTGCGTTAAACTTCGCACCGCACTTTGGGGTCCAACGCACTTTGGGGTTAAAATCGAAAAATTTACCCCAAAGTGCGTGAATATGCTACATATCAACGCACCTTGGGTTCAAGAGGTCTAAAGGTGTCATCTGAGTTTCAAGATGGCGGTCAATACTTTATGATGCTTAAGTGAAAAAAGTTTCATTAATTTTACCACTTAAAATATCTAAAAATTATAACAAAATTACGGTGGCATAAAAGTGACATTTGCATTTTTTTGTTTTTAGTTTTGTATACATATTTTATTTTAGTTTTGCATACATATTTTTTCAGTTTTGCATACATATTTTTTTAGTTTTGCATTCATATTTTATTTTTGTTTTTCGTACATATTTTATTTTTGTTTTTCATACATATTTTAGCCAATCAAAACAGCCTTCAAATCTCATAGGTGAGTATAAAACTAGCGCAGAGGTTTGGTCACATTTCGGCCCATTTTTTGGAATCGGCCCAGTCGTTTTCAACCGTGCAAGTCTGGTTTCGGCCGACCCTTTTCGGCCCATTTTTTTATATTATTTGATTTTATATAATTATTGTTTTTTATTATTATATACTATTATATAAGTGTATTTTTGGAAAGGGCTGTTGATTGGTGATCAGTTATTATTCCATGAATATGCACCACTCAACCCCACCCCCTGAGAACTGAGAATTATGAAACTTAGGTCAATTCTTTAGCACATCCAGATAATGTGCAGAACTTATATGCCAGGTGTGCCGGCTCAAGGTCGGGGTCACACCTTCAGGTCAAAGGATAAAGACTTGGGTTTCATGTCCGCTCCTTATCTCCGAAACCCCATGAAGGATTTTAAGGCACCTTGTGACAAATGTTAACCACATCCTGACCATATGCAGAACCTTTCTTTGGGTTACCGCGGACTATATATTTATATATATATACACTAAAGTGTTGTTATTTTTTGATACCTCCAAAAATGAAAATGTTGGTATTTGCAAATGGCATTTGCAAATGGGGTACTGTAATTTACAGATGGCGAAGTGTTTGAAAATGGTGTTTTACAAATGGTGTAATTATCCAAACCTCTACTTTGCAAATGGCGTCATGTAAAAATATGTACGAAAAAACAAAAATAAAATATGTACAAAAAACTAAAATAAAATATGTATGCAAACTAAAAAAGAATATGTATGCAAAACTAAAATAAAATATGTATGCAAACTAAAAAAGAATATGTATGCAAAACTAAAAAAAGTATGTATTCAAAACTAAAAAAAAATATGTACGACAAACAAACAAAAAATATGTACGAAAAACAAAAAAAAAGTATCAAAAAAAAATACAAATGTCACTTTTATGCCACCGTTCAAAATACTCTAGTACAGAAATTGTGTATTCCTAGAAATAAAAGATGCTGCGAAAAATATCCCTTTCTGTCGGTCATTTACTTGATAACTTTTGGTGCCATATTGAGCCCAATTTAAAATATGTTGGGAAATGCAGTTAATATTTTTTTCCCAAAGAACTATAAATATACTCTATTGCAATGCTCTGGTGAAACATCAAGTTTTTCGATCGGACTATAA